CATACATCTTTTGTTGGCATAGTAGAGTTGCAAGATTATCTTTTTCTTCGTAGACAAGATAACCAAATACAAAAATATAAATAACATTTATGTGCCGCTAAATAATATTTTGGACAAAATGTATATATGACTTTTAGAAAATACTTAATTAATTTATGGTATAAAGTTGACAAAATTAATAAATCCAATTTTGGTATAAATCTAATAGCCATTTTTTTCATAGAAATGTGTTGTTAATAATAAATGTTTGATTTTGTGGTATAAAGTGGGTGATTTATTTTTGGTACAAAATGTTCGAATTTAAATAGTATGAATTTTATTTGGAATGGATAGAAGAATATTTGAAATTATTTAAAACAAAATAAGAGCATTTACAATGCATAAATGTTGTTATCACATAAATTTTGACAAATGTCAGTTGTTTATATGGATTGTGAACCACATAAGATATTTGTTAAGTTCACAACTTTATATCTACAAAATTATCTGCGTGCACAATGTGATCAAACATAATATTGTCAATTGGAAAAAATAAAAATAAAATATAAATAAGAAACAAAAAATAAATTAATAATTAGATATTTTTAAAAAGATACTCCATAATATTTGATTAAACACTAAATCCGGCTATTTGATATCAATTATATATAAAAGCAGTATTATTATGGAACCAAATGTTATGGAATATCTTTTTAAAAACAGTATAATTATAATATCAAGATATTTAACCACGATTCAATCTTTTTAATTCAATCAATATCTCTTTTTAGACTTATCAATTCATTTTAATATAATATAAATTTACCGTAAAAATGAGAATTGGACTTTACAATAATCACGGTATCAATATTAACAATATAAATGCTAAATAAAATTTAATTATTTGGATTGTACACTTTATTATATACATATAAATAAATCGCCTATTTGAACTTTAAATATTTTATTTTTTTTCATATATAGTTATGCAATATATGCAACTTAACTAAAAGTAAAAATCATTCTAAAGATTTCATTTCAATCATGGTAACATGTTTTTTAAAATTGCCACAATTTTCCATTCACTAATCCACTACTCATATAAACATCTTTTTGTTATAATATACGATTTTCTTTTTATTATTTTGAATCATTTTCTTATCACTTTTTTTAATGAAACATATTTTTTATTTAAAAACCGTGATTTACATGTCCTCCGATTCATTTAGTTATTTTTTATTTACAAATGATAAAATATCCTTGTTGTTTTTTTAAACATAATTATTTTTATAAGTATGTTTTACAAAAGATACAACCAAAATTCTAAATCTCTGTTAAAACATAACAAAACAAAATCATTCTCAATTTTTGTAATGAATTTGGCATAAAAAATGACAATGATTGACAAAAAAAAAAAAAATCAAAATCCACACTTTAACTTTAGGGTAACAATTTTCCTTATACTCGATATAAAATTAAACTTCACCAGATAATCATATCTTTAGTATCTATCACAATATTACATATTTTCACTATAGTTTTATTTCATGGTGGTACCATTCCGAAAATCAACAAAAAAATTAAGGAATGAGGTGTCTATACAATTCACAATTACCATGTGGAGAGCAATCTTGGTAAATATCGATTTACGGATACCAAGTGAAAAATAAATTTGCATGGAAAAACAAAGAGCTTTTTAATAATGTATGATTTTTTCATGATGATCATTTTACGATTACCTAACAAATGTTCTATGTTTATAACTTATTGACTAATAACTTTCAATTATAAATTTTACCAAAATAAATACAGCCCGTGCATCGCACATGGTACGTACTAGTGTAAATAAAATGTATATATTAATGTAGAGTAAAATATAGTGCGAACGATTGGAGATGAAACTTAATTATTGGTTAACTCTACTTTAGAGTAGAGTAAATCCATATATATTGAAAGAGGTTGATGGAATAATCTAAAATACTAACTTTGGCCTTGTAATTAATTAAGTTGACTAAAAAGAAATATAGTAAAAATTACTTTAATATTTATAAAAAAAATAAATTATACCTACCTGTTGTAAATCGTGCAATCCAGCTAATAGCACGACTTTCTATATAATTAAATTGGTATCAATTTTAAAAATTATTTTGTGGTAATATCGCAATAAAAATTCGATTGTTCATATTAATTACAAATCACAATTTTACTTATGAAAGTGTATTAAAAACATATGAAAACATATATATATATATATATATATATATATATATATATATATTGTTTATATCTATAGAGTAGTACAACACCCGTATATTACGCGGGAGCTTGTTCAAAAATTATTCTCAAAATTTTAAATTAATGAGAAAATTTATTTTAAATATTATTTACTTTTTTACAAAAAATATTATTATATATTTTAGAATGACAATTGTTACTTGTGTGGCTTAAATGTGTTATATTATAGTCATCTTTATAACTTATATAATGAAAATACTTGAAATATAAATATATTAAATTAAATAATAATGATATTTTTTAATTAAAATAAAAAATAATTTTATTATTGTTATAAAGATAAATATAATTTTATAATATAATATGGATGTTGAATCGAAACTAATCACGAGATGATTAATTTGATATATTATACATGTAAAACTGACAAAAGATACAAAAGTTATTAACTTTCAAGATTCATTTACAATTGAATGACTATAATAAGAAATGATATTAAAATACGATTAATACATGTTACATGACCATGAATAATCAACATATTTATAGCTAACTCGAACCTAGTTATTTTTGGATTTGAAGTAAAATTAAAATATACCAAAGCCCTAATAACGAAACATGTAATTTTGCCACATAGGATCTTGAAGCACGCGAGCCTGTCACTTAGGCCCAGCACGTTCTGAAATAATATATAGTGGGGATGTTCTTTGTAATCTTTATAAAAATATTTGTCGACTATATTTTTTAAATAAAATAATCATATATATATATATGTATATATGTTATATTGTTGTATCTTATTGTATTTTGTTAAACATATAGTAACAATTTTATGACTTTGATTACCGTTAAAAATTCCCTATAACTTTTTAGGAAATACTCAATTATTCTTCTAATAAAAATAATATTGATATAATTATTCTTTTAATAAAAAATAATATTGTATGTAACTATATTTTTGTCAATCATATATTGATAATTTAAATATCTTAACATGTGCAAGATAGTATTTCATTAAATTATATTTTTATTATTAATGCTAATTTAAAATAATGTAAATAAAATGTAAATATTAATGGAGAGTAAAATGTAACGCGGACGATTGGAGATGAAACTTAATTGTTGGTTAACTCTACTTTAGAGTAGAGTAAACTATATATATTGAAAGAGGTCGATGGAATAATTTAAAATAGTAACTTTGACCTTATATTTAAATAAATTGACTTACTATTAACTGAAATATAGTAAAAATTAATAATTTTCATAAAAAAATAAATCTTGAATTATATATACCTGTTGTAAATATTGCAATATGGTTCATAGCATGACTTTCTATATAATTAAATTGGTATCAATTTTAAAAATTATTTGTGATAATTATGGGAATAAAATTCGATTGTTCATATTAATTATGAATCACTGCAATTTTTGTTTATTTGGTAACCAACCATACAAAATATTTTAAGAAAACCTCTATAAAATATATTTCATTTTTAGAAAATATTTTTTGCATATGCTTGATAATATTTCAAATATAATACAAAATAAAAATTGAAAATCAGTTATGGAAATTTTATTATGGTATTTATCACAATGTTATATATGATTTTTATTTATCAACATTAATAACAAATTATGATGATTTATTTATTCATTTGGTAACCAACCATATACCAAAATATTTTTTTTATTGTATCTTCAAAAGAACATTAAATCGAGAAAATTAGTTTAGAATATTTTGATTTATCTATGACTCAATTGTTCTCGTTTTTCAAAAATTATAAACCCAATTTTCCGAAGTATCAAAAGGAATTTAACTATTTATCTTTAATAACGAATCAATTTTTATCCTTAACAACAAATCACGTGTTCTCCTGTTTTGTCGGGTATCCAACCATATGTAGACCGAAATATACATGAGAGCACTGCAAAATATAAGTACAAAATAAATTTAGAATTCAATTCAAAAAATTTTATTGATATAACTACCACAACACTAAATTAGAATTGATACCTCAACATTAATAACAAATCACTGCGATTTTATATTCATTTCCTAACGAGCCATATACCAAAAATCATCTATTCAAAGAGTTCAAAAATTAATAATTTCTTTCACTTCAAAATAATAGATATTACAACATTTTTCAATTAAGTGTTGATTATAATATTTTCCACAAATTTTCAACTTTAGCCTAACTTATTTATAAATCAAAATAATTTAATGTAAATCGGTAAGAGAAGATAGAGGGAGAAAATTATTCTGTGAGTATTATTTATTGATAATATTTGAATACGTCAAATTTTAATTGTCCTTAATTATAAACATGGTCTAAAATGACAAATATTTTATAACGAGTGAAACAAACATATAAATCATATATTAAAGTATGATATATCTTAGAATAAAAGAAAAATTAATTATTAAATTTCAAAATTATTTTTATACAAATCAATACTCCTTTATTGATTTAAATTTAATACATGTAATTATAATTATTGGCATGTACATTGCACGACCGATGTACCGATTATGCAGTAAAATAGAGATAACGATTGAAGATGGTCTATATACGTAACTTTGACCGCCCATAGACTCAATTATACATATATACTTGTAATAAAATTCGCGGCTCTTCATCTGCCTCGATATAAATAGTCCTCTCCATTCTAGATAACTCATCAGTCTCTCACACTTCTTCTCTCTCACATAAAACGCACGCAAAACACGCAAACACACAAAACCCACCGCCTTTGCCTGAAGAAAGAGAAAAATAATCAAAAAAATGGCCATGGCAATGTCGAACAAGGATTCCGGCTGGTGGCTCTTTACCATACCAGCTTTCCTCGGCTCCGAAACTTTACTTGACGCGTACATCATCCTCTCCCTAATCGCCGCCTTCGTCTCCGTCACCCTCCTCACCTGGGCCCTCTCCCCCGGCGGCTCCGCCTGGCGCAACGGCCGCAACCGAGCCCCCGGCGCCTCCGTCCCCATCCCCGGACCCCGCGGTCTCCCCGTTCTCGGCAGCCTACTCGACCTCGGTCGCGGCCTGGCTCACCGCCGTCTCGCCGCTCTCGCCGCCTCCGCCGGCGCCCGCACCCTCATGGCCTTCAGTCTCGGTTCCACCCCGGCCGTGGTCGCCTCCGACCCCCGCATCGCCAGGGAGATCCTCGCCTCCCCGGGCTTCGCCGACCGGCCCGTCAAGCAGTCGGCCCGCAGCCTCATGTTCGGCCGCGCCATCGGTTTCGCCCCCAGCGGCGCCTACTGGCGCCTCCTCCGCCGCATCGCAGCCTCCCACCTCTTCTCCCCCCGCCGCGTCGCCGCCCACGAGCCTGGCCGCCTGGCCGACTGCGCCGCCATGATCCGGGCCGTCGCGGCCGAATCGGACAGCGGAGGCCCGGTACACCTCCGTTCTCACCTCCAGGCGGCGGCCCTGAACAACATCATGGGCAGCGTTTTCGGGCGGCGGTACGACCCGGCCCGCGACGGCGCGGAGCTGGCCGAGCTCCGGGACATGGTCGGCGAAGGGTTCGAGCTTCTCGGCGCCTTCAACTTCTCCGATTACCTGCCGTGGCTTTCCTACTTTTATGACCATAACAATATTGTCCGCCGCTGCCAGGCCCTCGTGCCACGTGTCCGGAATTTCGTCAAAGCCATCATTGACCAGCACAAGCTGAAAAGGTTGTCCGGAGCTAATATTTCTGATGACGCTGATTTCGTCGATGTCTTGCTTTCCTTGGAGGGAGACGAGAAGCTTGATGAAGATGATATGATCGCCGTTTTATGGGTGCTTTTTTCCATTTCATTATAAATGATTATATTATAGAGAGATGCTACGGTCCCAGAATCATTTGGTCTGCGGTTACAAATTTTGACGGAATGATTTTGTAATGGGATCGCAGCATTTTCCTATATTATGTACATGATTTAATTAATTTATTGATTATTTTTTACATTTTTTTTGTAGGAAATGATTTTCCGTGGAACGGACACGACGGCACTTCTTACCGAGTGGGTGATGGCTGAGCTGGTGTTGCACCCCAAGGTACAAGCCAGGCTTCGGGAGGAGCTGGACGGCGCTGGCGCCGTCGCCGACCTTGCGGCAATGCCGTACCTCCAGGCTGTGGTGAAGGAGGCGCTGAGGGTGCACCCGCCGGGGCCCCTTCTTTCGTGGGCCCGCCTCTCCACTACTGACGTCCACCTCAGCAACGGGATGGTGGTTCCGGCGGGCACCACCGCCATGGTCAACATGTGGGCCATCACACACGACCCGGAGGTTTGGTCCGACCCGCTTGAGTTCAAGCCTGAGAGGTTCATGCCAGCGGAGGGCGGAGTCGACGTGGATGTCCGCGGCGGGGACCTGAGGCTGGCGCCGTTCGGGGCCGGTCGGAGGGTTTGCCCCGGGAGGAGCCTCGGGATGGCCACGGTGGCTCTTTGGGTGGCGAGCCTTGTCCGCAGCTTCGAGTGGGCGGCTGACCCGTCGGCTCCGGTTGATTTGTCAGAGGTTCTCAAGCTGTCTTGTGAGATGAAGTACCCTTTGTCCGCTGTGGTCGTGAAGCGTGATGACATAATTTACTAAGGCTTGTTTGGTTGATTAATTATGGAACTTTTTTTTTTAATTATTATTTTGGATGTTTTTTTTTTTAATGTTATGTAGGGAAAATATTACATGACTTTGTAATTTTATTTGTGTTTGTTGGACATGGGAGTGGGAGTGAATGAATGAGTTTGGTGAGTAGATTTTGTGGGGGAGGGGTATGTCTAGTGATAATTAGCCAAGTGTGTTATTTTGGTCAAATATGTTTGTTTCCATTATGGTTGCTACTCAAGGAAAAAAAATGTGGCACATCAAATGTTGGCTCCCAATTTTGATATGGTTTTGGTCTTTTGGAGTAGGTATTTTCCAAATCTTGAATATGTATCATGTGACTTCTATTTTATGTCATATTGTGAGAAGGTAGAAATTTCAAATTGAATGATGAGGTTGATGATTGCTCATAGCATTTTCATGCTATGGTTTTGAAAGACTATAATTTTTAAAATGTTAATTAATGATTGTAATATTAATCTACATAGAAATAACGTTAAAAGATTGAAATTTGAATCAAGCTGGTGAGAGATGTTACCGTCCTGTTACGGAATCATTCTGTCGAGATTTGTATCCGCTAAATTATTATGTAACTGTCGGAAGTAATTTGATCTAACGGTTACAAATCTCGACGGAATGGTTCCGTAACGAGATCGTAGTATTTCTCCAAAATTAATTTGATAAGAAATTATTTGTATAGGTGAGTCAATTAAAATAATGTATTGATACAAGAACATTAAAAAAATTAAACCAAATATAAAGTGAACATGATGAGTCATCATGTTTAACATGATGTTACATACTCCCTCCTATTTTTAATAAGTGTCGTTTTGAAAGTTGCACAGTAGTTAAATTTTTTTTTGCCAATAATAACCCTCATTAATGAGGATATAGATGAATGTTTTGAGAAAATATGAATGGTGAATATGAAAAGACGTAGTGTATTTATTAGTTAGATGAAAATAATAATGGAAAAATATGTACAAAAATTCAAAACGTCATTTATTTAGTTAATGATTGATAAACTCAAACTACCATTTAAAAAAAAAAAAATGAGGTAGTATTAAAAGTGAGTTTAACATTATCAACATTCAATGTCATTCACCTCGCCGTGAAAGAGATCATGACAAGATGAATTAGAGAATGAATTACTAATATTTTTTAAAAGTTAATGATATGAATAATTGTTTATAATGTCAAAAGTCACGTTGGAGATGTTTTTAGTAATTAA